TGATATATTTCTTTAAACAGCATGAAAGTTTCTGAGTTTGGGATATGACACTTCTGATCTATGTTCACATATCATATTTAAGAGAAAAGGTGTTTTTAAGTTTCGAGGTATGGCCAGTTCAAAATGACATAGCTAACCTTTGGAAATTGACTAAAGCCTTCACAAGAATAAAGTCCTACTGTATACTAAAGACAGTCTAAGATATTTTAATTATTAAAAAATTCAAAAATCAACAGACCTGGTGAATTAAATAAAAAAGATTATAAGATAGATTTTTTTTAACTTTTCAAGCTGTAACTTGTACTTCCCTTTTAAAATTGCTTTCAAAATAACTGATCCATTATCTTAAAAGTCATTTCACAATATATTTTTAAATATCGCAGTCTCCTTAGATTACCTAGGTCACCTATTTTTCTCACCTCTGGGCATCAAAGCACGTTTTACATAAAGAATTCCTGACACATTGGAGATTGCTCTAAAGCTCCTCAGAGGAGATTGAGTTGACTTCCTTTTCCTTGCTAACTACACATTTTATTTACATCTGGCCTAAATCTCCACTGCAATAATTTGAGAATACCTCTTGACTCTACAGCCTCAGAAGAGAAAATAATCACCATGGATCATCATACCTAATAGTAGTGACTTTTGTAGTTACTACTAAAAACAAATGAAAACAATCATTCAGTTTCTATATAAATATATCATAAAACTATTTAAACATATAAAAGTATCCAGGCATAGAACTCAAAGCTTAATTTGACAGTAAATTTTAATATAAGAAACAAATGCAATGTAGTCTATTGATTATGAAAGAATCTGAACTGAACTGCTTAGCTAAAACCTTGATCTTTCCACCATAGCTCTGAATTATCAATACATTATGATTGTCAAAGTTATTGAGTGCTTCTATATTTTAATTGTAATGGAGAATTGGAAATGGTTACCATGCTATCATACAATTTGATATTGCTTTTAAAAATTCACCCACTTTGTTCAATATCTGCAGCAATATTTGTTAATAGTGTCAGTAATTCAAATTAGCCTTGAAATTCTTTCCAAATGTAAGAAATAAGTACTGGAAAAAGTCAAGAGAGGGATAGCATTTCTTTTATTTCTGGGTTTCCACAGGAAAAGGCAATGAATGGTTACATTTTTAAGCCTTTTGTTAAAAATGCAGATCAATTAGGCAAAGTGGGGATCAAAGGGAAGTCCAAACTTTACCTGTATGATGATCACTTGTATACCTAATCCTGAATTGTACCCCACATTTTAAAAATAAATAAATAAAAGAAAAAAAGTAGGTAAATTACAACTAAAAAATGGTCAAAGTTTATCTTCTGCTCTATTTTAAAAATCTAGAAATTATAAAAATGATAGAAGAATTTTAATTTATTTTTAATTTGAAGGGTAATTTAGGACTATTTTCTAAAACAACAGTAAGGCACATTATACTCAAGTAGATCTCTAGAAGCATTTTGTTATAATGATTATCTGAAGGCCCACTAACATACGCTCTGTAAAGGCAGATATAATATCTACCTTGCTGAGTGGCATTCTCTGTATACACAATAGATTATCACAAGGTATGTGCTAATAACAGATGAATCAAAGAGCCAAATGGACTTACAAAAATGAAAAACATATTTGATAAGCATGGGGACATGAGAATATGCCTCAAAGACATCCAACTAGAGGGAGATTAATAAACCAAGAGAACCAGCTGCTGAGCTCCGAAATACATCCTCATGCTTTTTCCAAGGCCATGCTTCCCAGGGGCTGCTCTGAGCCAATGGCTGACTACAGCAGGTTTTCTAAGGCAGGCTCATTCCTGAGGAACAAGGGACTCCTCTGAAGGCTGACTTTGACTCAAGGGCTCCCCAAAGACTTTACTAAATCCTTCTTAGACTGCACAGTGGTCTAGGACATTTCCATCTAATTCCCTTCCTTTGTCCTTCACTTGTAGACAGGGTGGCGTGGACATCTGATGGCTCCTCCTGCCTTAGCCATCTCCCTCCTATTTCTCTTACACAATTGTTCCCTTTAAAAAATCCTTGCATGTTTAATCCTATCTTGCAGCTGTTCCTTGGAGGACCTGGACTAGCACAATAAGGAAATTTAAGACTGAGCAATTCTCTTAATAGTTCTACTTTTTAACCATCTTGTTGAGCTATTTTACTACAAATTAGTATACTATACTAGAATGTAATATTTAACATTTTATTACAAATTCATATACCACACACAATTTAACCATAAGTTATTAGTCTTAGTCTTCTGTCAAGATCCACACCTTAGGCACATACTAAATAAACTATCACTTACGCTTCTCAGAGAATGAGTTAAGACTATAAAATTCATTGCTCAATTTGGACTTTAACTTTATTTTTCTACATGAGTGGTATGTATTTTAATAATATGCAACTCTTGAATAAAAACATTAACATCTTTAATTCTCTACTAATTTCCCATATTTCATTTACAAAAAGGAAACATGTATTTCTATATTGAATGTTATTCTATTGTTTGGCTAATGCAATTCTCCTCATAGGAGGCAAGTCAGTTTTCCAATTGTTTTATAATATATCTATTATATTTCAACTCACAATGGCATAATATATTGCACAGAAAACCTACTTAATTAGTGCCTTCTTGATATCTGTGAATACAATATGAGTTTCCGGTTCCACTCAACAACGGCATCTACAGCGTTAATGTAGTTTGGGGGACAGGTACACACCTGATATAATCAGATGCACATACTTTTAATTCTGTGAATAGCAAAAGCTATGTGGAAAAGCAGGATTAATAGAAGACAAAATAGTGAGCAAAGTCTTCTTTGAGCCTGAAATTCAGCAAACAGGTTTTCAGTCAGACTACCCCATTGCAGAAGTTAAATGGGGTAGTCTACATTTCTGCCTCATCCTCAACCTCTCTAGGGCCCTCATCCCAAGCACCTGCACACTGACCCATCCATACCCCCAGTAAAATTCTGAGACTCACAGGAAAGCAGATGGACTCTGAAGTTAAGATAGTTGGGATGTGTTGTTGCTGCCACTGAACCATTTAGGTGTTTAAATACCCTTTGGCTTCTGATATGGCTTGGATATTGTCCCTTTCAAATATCTTGTTGACCTGTGAGCCCCAGTGTTGGATGTGGGGCCTGATGGAAGGTGTTTTGGTCATGAGAGTGGATCCTTTATGAATGGCTTGGTATCATTCTCATGATAATGAGTAAGTTCTTGCTATACCAGTTCATAAGAGAACTAGCTGTTTAAAAGAACCTGCCACCCCTTTTCTCTCTTGCTTCCACTTTAACCATGTGACATACCCTCTCCCCTTGCCTTTCATTTCAGTAAAAGCCTCCTGAAACCTCACCAGAAACCAAGCATACACTGGCACCATGTAGAACCGTGAACCAAATAAACCTCTTTTCTTTATAAATTATCTGAACTCCAGCATTCCTTTATAGGAATGCAAAACAGACTGATGCAGCTTTCTATGCTATGACATAGTTATAAATAAAAAATGATATGCAGAAGCACCTTAGTTTCATATCCAAAATTAAATTGCCAATTCATAAAGACTGATGTCCCACCTCTACAGTGGCTTGAAATGGCTATAAATATTTCCCAATGTTAAATGCATCTGAAGTTTAATCTAAAACTAATACATGCACAGATTTTGTGTGCATATTGCCCTATTTGTTAATTAGACATCAGGGGACAAGATTTGAATCAACTTTAAAGCTTCAAAATAATGTATAATTACCATCTCGTGCAAAATGTGCTACTGGCTGTGTATGCATCCTTATAGCAAATGATATATATGTCAGTCTTAAATAGTTGAATTTCTATAATTACCACTGTGAGACTCACTTGTAACTTTTCAGTTAAGCTCCCAGATATCTAAGTAGTACTTTTCACATATTTCTTATGTCCACTATAGCATAATGGAAGAACATTGCAATTCATGATATTTTCCCTGCTTGTTTGGAGAACAAGAACACATAATCTTGGTGTCATCATAGTACTTGAAAGTCTATAAATATTTATTAACTGAACTATTAACCTTCCCAAGGGCCAATATTTTGATCATCCACCTATGGGTTTAATCAAACATTCTCAAGATTCTGAGATTAGATACAGGAAACATAAGGAATGATTAATTGAGGTACAAATAACTGAAAGGTCACAAAATAAGATTTCATTTATTACCTTGTAAAAAATGTTTAAGGTTAGTGTCAAATATTAGACTAGAAATGAAAAGTAGGCCACAAGAGTTCCTCCCCATGCCCAACATCAAATAATGTGAAATAGCAATACTCTTTATAATTTATGTATAACTAAAAGAGAAAATAATTTATTCTTCTGTTTATAATCTAGTTCTTGCTGTCAAATGTAAAAACAAACATATTTCTGATGTTAAAGTGGCAATGATATATTTCTACTCCAGTGCCATTATCAGAAGTAATTAGTAGAAATAAATAAAAATTACTAGGCATTTAGATGGACTTGAGCAAGTGTGGCTGCAAACTACAACACTGCCACAAGGCAAAGAGGGTTCAAGTCATAACTTAAAGCATATTTACTAACTAGAAGAAAAGCTATTGTATTCTCCTTCCATTTCTATTCGACTTAATCTAGTTTTATCTTAGATGGAGGTTTGACACCTGATTGATGCCTACTTTGTTATTTGTACCTTTACTACTCAATACTTTTGAAGTGTGAGGAAAAAATATTGTGTTTTATTACGCTTGATTGACACAGGCAGGGACAAGAGTGACCCTACTATCACAATAGAATGTTTGCTCATCCACAGAAAACCCCTACTCATGATTACATATGATTATCACTCACTTCATAATTAAACTAAAGCTAGAGATTTCTCATGGTTTAATGAATTGTGTATGTGTTTGTGCGTGTGTGTGTGTATGCAATATGACTCTTCTGATCAAGATGTATGCATCATGCTTAGAAAAAAAGGTTATTTCTTTTACTTACCTAAAATCCTTCCCAGCACCAGAGATTTAACTGCACTGAATTCTGTGCCTGATGACAGGTAGACCTGTCTCCTTGTATTTTCATCAATCTACAAATTAATACATAACATACAAACATCTAAATGAATGGTATTTTTTTGAGAAGACAAGAAGTAAAGGTAGACAAAAAATAATTGATTAAGCAATTGCTAGTGTGGCCCCAGTGGTTTAGAAAAAAACAAATCTTAAAAAGCTAGCCACAGCCGGGCTCGGTGGCTCAGCCTGTAATCCTGTGCTTTTGGGAGGCTGAGGTGAGTGGATTGCCTGAGCCCGCGGGTTCAAGACCCGCCTGGGCAGCAAGACCTCATCTCTACAATAAATAAAAAAAATCAGCTGGGCGTGGTAGCACATGCCTGTAATTCCAGCTACTTGGAAGGCTGAGGTGAAAGGATTGCCGGAGCCCAGCAGGTCGAGGTTGCGGTGGCCGGGAGCGGCCACTGCACTCCAGTCTGGGCAACAGAGTGAGACTCCAACTCAAAAAAAAAAAAAAAAAAGCTAGCCACTTAGTAAGTTTTTTCTAAACTATGTCTATACTGCCCTCAGATACCACTGCACCCCTCTTTCTATTATCTTTTGTCATTTTATTTTTCTCCACTGTGTAAGGAATCCAAAATTAAGGAAGCCAACAAAAACATACTGACTGCTTTTCGCCTCAATAGTTTTACTCAGCTTGATATTTTTATTTGAGTCAGGCAGTTAATAAGTTTTTGTCTATGTAAGGTATCAAAATATCAGCGATTTTCTTAAAAAACTGGTTGAGTGAATGATTTCAATTTATTTGCTGTGACTCACATAGTTTTAAAAAATTTACTCTGATGTTATAATCATTATTTTCTGTGATAGAATTATTGCTACATTTATACCCATATAAAGTAAAGTGCTTTTGTTGGAGTACCAATGTTTCTACCAGTAGCACACTATAATAAACTAAACATCATTTTCCAGCTGAGAAAAGTAAACAAGTGAGAAAACATTGGCATTTTCTGTGTCAGATATTAAAAATATATTGAACAGAATCTTATTGCTTAAAATCCTTGACCATATTTGATGGTCTATCATCTGTAGAAGACTATTGAAAGTGTCTGTTATTTTATTCATAGCAAATTCTTTTATGGGTCCTTCATAATGGGGAGTCATCATTATAACTGTTCAACTTTTGTTGAATTTACTATATTACCTCTACAAAGACCACTCCTTCTTCTCTGTTAATCTTTATGTGGTGAAGTTGCCCATCAGCCATGTTTTTAAAATCAAAGTTAACAACGTCAGGTTCTTGATATCTGTTTAGCTTGTACCTAATCTGCAAACTTCCTAAAGTAAAAAAATAATAATTATTATTATATTTTTAGCAAAAATCATCTTGAACTATTTATGTAAAAAATCAGTCTTTTTGTTGTTGTTGTTATTTATGATTCATTTCTGAGGAAAAGTTTGCATTTGGAAGATACTTTCTAGTCACAATTCCTTGATGTCAGTTTCCAACTAAAATCTCAGTAGTGTATCTCCGAAATCAAGACCAAGTATGTTGCTCATAAGAACTCTCTTGTCTGCAAATCTTTAATTTTATTCCCTAAAAGTCAACTCAGATTAAGCATAATAAGATCAAGTATTTCTGAAATGCCAAACTACTGCATAATATTGCAATAATATTCTATTTCTATAATCATTTTTTAAATATATATATCTCACTTCTGAAATGCAATTGATTAATAGAACTATCAAAAACAAATACAGTTTTGCTAAAGATAACAAATATGTAAAAGTGGTCATGGTCATAGACTTTGGAATGAAATTAGAATAAAATGAATGGTTTTAAGTCAAACTTACCATTGAAATTAACACTACTCAATTGCCAGCAGAGATGTCAATTAATGTATTTCACAAGATTATCTTTCAATTTAACAAAGAAATTGTCATCATATAAAGTTTCAAGTTCAAAGTGTGCAGTGAGGATAAATATACTTATTGAGCAATATTATTATTATTTGAGTGTTCAGTGTCCTTGTATACTTGTTTTTCTCACCCAGAGAACTTATTCATAATTTTTTTCTTTAATTCAGATGTAGAAAAGAGAAAAATAGCAGTAAATAGTTTTCTGTGACAAAGTTGTTGCAGCAAACACATTTCCTAATCTATATGCCCTTATACTCTATGGACATATACCACATACTCTATGGACATAATATAACTATTATATTTGCCTGAAGTAAAACTAGAAGGTCACCAGGCTCGGTGGCTCAGCCTGTAATCCCAGCACTTTGGGAGGCCGAGATGAGTGGATTGCCTGAGCCTATCAGTTTGAAACCTGCCTGGGCAACTTGGCGAGACCTCGTCTCTACAATAAATCAAAAATTAGCCGGGTGTGGTAGTGCGCGCCTGTAGTTCCACTACTTGGAAGGTTGAGGTGGAAGCATCGCTGGAGCACAGCAGGTCAAGGCTGCGGTGGCCGGGAGGGTGCCACTGCACTCCAGTCTGGGCGACGGAGTGAGACCCCCAGATCAAACAAAAACAAAACACTAAAAGGTCATCTTGTGAACATTTTGTTATCCACTATCCTGGCTTATTAACACTTCATATTTCTTCACTGTGAATTGAAGGAAATCTCTGTCATATACAACAAGACATCTTATGTCAAAATGAACTGTAAAACCAATATTGATATTCATTCATATAGAATAGTCAAGAGTTTCTAGCAATAGCAAAATATAATAATCATTTTATACAAACAAAATAAAATTTTGCATTGCATATGGAAGATTTTCAAAATTATAAAGAGATAAAGCCATCTTAATTATTTTAAATAATCCCTTTGGATTAAAATTATAGTATGGTACTATAAAAACAAAATGAATACAAAAACACACTTCTTGTTTGTAGTTTGAGAGGCAAGAATTTGCAAGAGCAATTCATATTATTATGACTATAACTGCCCTGATATTCTAATTTAATTTTCTTTCTCATATGAAAAGAACTCACCATTTTTAGCAATGATTACTGAAAGGTACTCTTTGTAAAAGGAGCTCACAAAAAGCAGCAAGCTTGGTGTTCGTGTTGTTCGGAAGCTAAATTTGATCATTTCTCTGCTCAGCTTCGTATCACCATGAAATGGAGCAGCGTGGGAGCTGGAGTTTTTACTTAAAAAATAATTTTCGTGAAAATTGTAAATCACGGATGAGCCAGATCCAAAATATGCAGAAATCTCTGAAATAACATACACATTTTATGTTTTAAAAGCATAAGACTCTTGCTTTAATTAGACTAATTGATGTTTTAAGTTTTTTGAGTAATGAATTGCATAGATAGAATAAACAACCCCAAGCTAGAACTGAATAGCACAGCAAATGAATAGAGCTTTCATAATGATCTTTGAAATGACTTTATGTTAAAATGATATAATTAATTCACTAGTATAATTTCACAATTGAAAGCTAAATGCTTTCTTATCTGAGTTCTGACATAAGCCAGGCTTCTTGTCTTTTACCTCCTTGATCACCCACTTTCTTATTTAAATTTTAACTCCCATCTATTCTTTTGTAGATAGGATACACTAGTCTCTCAATAATAGGAAAGAGAGAAGCTTCAGGGACTCTGTTCCCTTCCAGTATCAACAGGCAGACATTTTTCTTTATGCCTAAACATTTTCTCATAGTTATTGTGCACTACAAAAAGAAAGCTAAGTCTAGCACTAATATGAGAGAGAAATAGGATCTACACATCTACACAAGAAATTAACCAGCCTCTTCTAAATCATTTCATGAAAGAGTATTTTCCTTGTATGAGTTTCATGTGCCAAATTCTCTCTCTCTCTCTCTCTCTCTCTCTCACACACACACACACACACACACACACACACACACACACCAAACATATATGCACGAAAATGAAGAGGGTAGTAGAAGGAATAGTTTTAAATCCCCAAATCTGGTGCTCTCCATTACTATAAAGTTTTGGTCATTGAATACAAGTTGTTTACGAGGTCATACAGTAATGTTGAGACTACCTTGGCATTTCGGGACTTTTTGTTGACTTGTTTGTTTTATTATTTTTATTACTTAAAATATATCTTTATATAAAATGTAGCATGTGCACGAAGAATAACATTTCTGATTCCACTTAGCAAGATGAACTAGCAATTATTATTCAGAAAATGAAGATATATTCTTATGAAGATGTTGACTTAATTATAACTTTGAAAAGTATTCTAGTATTACACCAGCAGTGTATTATTATTATCACAAGTTGATTTATAAATTTTATAAAGATTTTTCCTGAGAAAAGCAGATGACTTGAAACGTGCATTTTGGCCAATTTTTCATTAACTCATCTCAGTGCTTTCTTTGTAAATCAGGAGTTGCTTCAATTTGGAACCAATTTTTGTTAGTCTCCTTTAGGAAAAGGTTTAGTAGCCCAGAGACACTTGAATAAAGTAATTGAATTAAAATTGAATGTCAATTTTCTATGAGAAATTATGAAAGTATAATAAATGTTTGTATATTCATAAATGTCTGCCCAGAACACTTAATACTACATTCAGTTCTTTCCTTCTTCCATGACATAGATCAGTGAATGAGAAAAGCTGAAAAATATTCTAGCTGGGCATACTGGCTTGTGCTTATTATTTCAGCTGCTTGGGAAACTGAAGCAGGAGGATCACTTGAGACTAGGAGTTTGAGACGATCCTGGGCAACATAGCAAAACCCTGTCTCTAAAAACATACTTTGAAAAATAGTCTACTACTTTTTCTCTGGCAGATATGCAACATATCATATAATAAAACGTCTGAGTTTCTCTCATTATGCATCAATTTTTAATATAAAAGTTATTTATACTGGCCAAAATATTTATTTTGCCAAAAAAGTCCCAAACAAAAAAACAAAAACAATGCTTTCTAAATGCCCTTGCATTACTGAATATCTTCATGAAAAATAACAATCATGTTTTTAATAATTTTAAAATAGAGAACTGCTAATGAGGCAAGTTGTTGATGGCTATATTATTTAAGAGCACCAATACTAGATGAGGAAAAAAAGCAGATTAAGCAGCTAGCACTTTAAGACACCTAGAGTTGACTGGTAGTGGATCTATCAGCAACAGATACTAGTTTTTCAAAAATTGAGTAAAATATCTAAGTAATGAAACATGATTGTTACTCAACAGATACTTTGCAAAGGAAATTCAGAAATGAAAATATCATTGTTTCAAATAGCTACACACAACAGACTGCCAGACGTTGAATTCCTATTGATTAAGTTTTCCTGCTATAGTATCCCAGGTCACACTTACCATTTGAGCAGAATGGCCCTGTGAATGCAGAGAAAGTGCAGTCACAAAAGAACCCACTGGGCTTTTCTCTGCATTTCCCTCCATTGCGGCATAACTTCCCATAGCTGCTGCAATGTCCCCTACAACCTGGCTGCACTTCTGGAGTCACCTGGGCTCTTTCTTCCAAATCCAGGGCCATCCCATTCAACTGCAGAGACCGAATGCAGCCCAGAAAGCCTCTCTGCCTGGTGGCCGTTCCACCTAAAAGGGAAATACTGCAAATGGAAACATGTTCCTAGGTATTTTATTCAGGATTTAAAGACCAAACACAACTGAGGCCTTACAGAGAGCAGCAAAATCAAATGAGCAAACATAATATTGAAAACACAGTTCATGACCAAATATAGACCTCAAAGAGATAAAACAGTAATTCCATTTTTAAAAAGTTAAATTTGTTACATATTTGTTTCTCAATAATAATACATTAGTCGAGAAAGGTTTTTTTCCTCCTCATTTCAGACAATAAGATAAAGGCCATATCTTACTTTCATTCAAAATAATAGTGGTCTACATTGCTATTTTTATGTAGAAACTTTTTTTCAATTTTAAATAAATATATATTGGTGGGTAAGTGAGGTTTGTCCTTCATATTAAAACCTGATCTTAATTCTGGTACAGTTTTAACTTCCGTAAGACTTATGAAGGTGCCTTTGAGATCTCCTGACTACACACTGATATCGTCTTTTGGTTATTATCCATTCATAAAAAGATGATAATTGAGTATAAGATTGTTTGCTTCGTTCTGGAATATTTCCTAGTGATTGTTTTCTAAAAGCTGGCCCAGTGTTCATTGTTTTATGCTTGGAAAGATTCTCAACAAAATTGTGAAAGGGGATTGATGAAGAAGCAAGTGATGTAATTCTTATTGAACATATAATTGCATGTATGTATTAGGTCACCTTGAAGAGGTCTAAAATGTTTGTGTAAAATCAGATCCATTTTCGTAAGGCAGAAGTTCTCAAACTTTAAGGAATGCAACTATCACATGAAGAACTTCTTAAAAATAGACTCAGGAGCTCACTCCAAAAAATACTGATTCTGTTTTACATAATTTTTTGAAGTGAGTTTCTGGACTACTATTTCTGTCATCCAAAAATAGGGTCGTGCATCTCAACAGTCAACAAAGTTAGCAAGTGATTCTTATTCAGTGATCGTTTGACTATCATTGTATAAGCACTACCCTGACAGGAATACAAACCCTAAGAAGACTTACATGCAAATTTGTGTCCACAAATACCATAAATTAATGCTCAGAAGTAGGAAAATAGCAGCCTGGTCTAAGTAACCTGGATGATTCGTCAGCGAGGTGATTAGATGGTCATGGGCCTCTGAAAAGAAGTTCTTTCTTTGAATAAATGAAGTTGTCTCACCACTAGGATCTTGCACCTACTCTACATACTCTCTTTTTCTAGAACATGTTCACTTCATCTTCTCCCAAATCATTTAGCTCACTCCTAATCTAACCTTCATTATTTAGGATCTCCTTGCTATAAGAGACTATACAGCTTTTTACAAATTTTGGAGCCAAAAATTTTGCCACAAAGACCCTAAATAAACAGATCTTTGTCATCATCTACCAGGCTTTACAGTGGTCCCCATTGGAATACAAATTAACAAAGGTTACTCCAATACTGTTGTATCTCCAGCACATAAAGCAGTGCTAGAGACATAATTCTCTGTAATACATTCATTAAATTATTCATTAAGCCACCTTATAGCACAGAAGTGAGGGAAGCTTAGTGCTTCAAAGGTGAAGAAGGCACCATCCTCTGCCATACGGGAACATTTGTGTTCCTGAAACTGAGAATGAGGCCCATACTCAATGAATATTTCTGAATAAACTAATATATTTTTGGATAATAAAATACCATGAATAAGAAGCTACCCAGATTTCTGAGGATCCTGGACTCATGAGCACTAAGTCTTTATAAGTCAGATTCAGAAATATAATGATTTCTATCCAAATTGCTGTATTTAAACTTTTGTATTCAAATAGCTCCATTTACATAATCTGTGTCTCTTCAATGAAGGATACAAAGGTCTTAAGGATGTGGGTCATATTTTCTAAGTAGAATTTAGAGATAGTGTGGTCTCAGATTCAAATTTCAGTTTATGTGGGCATGACAGAGAAGAAGTTTATTTCATCCCAGTATTTTAGAATATTTGGCAATATTCTTATTTAATTCTTCCTACATTTACTCAATCTCCTACCATTTTTTTCAATATAGATGCCCAGTTAAATCACAATTGTACATATTTATGGAGTTTATAATGCATAGTGATCAGATCAGAATAATTAGCATATCCACCATCTCAAACATTTATCATTTCCTTGTGTTGGGAACATACAGTATTCTCTTTCTAGCTATTTGGAACTACATATTATTGTAAGCCATAGTCATCCTACAGTGCTATAGAATGCTGTATTTCTCCTATCTAGCTCTGTGTGTGTGTGTGTGTGTGTGTGTGTGTGTGTGTGTGTGTGTGTGTGTATCCTTTAACAAATCTCTCCTTTTCTTTCTACCCATTCTAGCCTCTAGTATTCTCTGCTCTACATTTTACTTCTATGGGATAAACTTTTTCTTAGCTTCCACATGAATGAGAACATATGGTGTTTAACTTCCTGTACCAGGCTTATTTCACCAAACATAATGTCTTTCCGTTCCATCCATGTTGCTGTAAATGACAAGATTTCACTCTTTTTTATGACTGAATAGTATTCCATTGAATATATATATCTCATTTTCTTTACCCATTCATCTGTTGTTGGACACCTAGTTTGATTCCATATGTTGGCTATTGTGAATAGTGCTGCAATAAAAGTGAGGGGGCAGATTGTTTGATATGCTGATTTCCTTTCCTTTAGATAAATGCTCAATAGAGGGATTGCTGGATCATATGGTCATCCTATTGGTAGTTTTTTGAGGCATCTGCAATTCTTAAAGTCTCTCATCTGTGTTTTATCTCAAATTTATTTTTTCTTCTGTAATAGAGCTGCCACTCACCTTGGCTTCACACCTTCTTATTCTCCCACTCTGCTGACTCAACTCAGTGAGTGCCCAGGGCTTGGAGTCTTCGGCCTAAATTCCTTTAACTTCCTTACTGGAGATTTCTTTCCTGGGTAAGGCAGCCTGCAGTCTCAGTTTTAGCTTTGACACAGGAAATTTTTGGAGGGGGTAAGTGCTATGAATTCTGGGTTAGAGGTATATTCCTGTGTATTTCATATACTTCATGGCATAGTACGTCAAATCATGGTATATGATCTAAAGTATGTAGTAACATTAAATCACTTTGTTATATATTTGCTTCTCTGAAGCATCCACAGTCTCTCTGATTTAGGGGTTTACCTCATTCTGCCAGTAGCATAATAATAACCTGGAATCCAATAACTGACTACAGTTTGTTTCCAACTGTCTTAACTTGCTTTTTCATGTTTGTTTAGTTTTTTGGATGATGAGAAAGCATGGAGAATTTCAGGGACTGGCCCACACAGGTGCAGCTGAGGAAATATTAGAATAAACACACTTAGTTGCAGAGGTAGGATTAGAACCCAAAGGTAGCCTTTCTTTCCAGGGAAGTCTCTTTTTACTCCACGTCACAATATGGTCAAAGAAGAAAACTTTTCCATTTTCTTTTACACTTCACATCATCTTTGGTTTGAACGGCATTTCAGTCCAAGCTTTATTTAGCAGCTCTTTTCTGGGCACTGTGTCTAACAATGGAGGTACAAAATGATGTACGATCGATCTTGCTGTCAAAGAGCTCACAGTCTAGTAATAGGTTTAGACAGAGAAACATAAGATAACCAAATGGTGTTAATAGTAAAAATAGATACAAGGTGGAGAAGAAGGTCGGTGGGGGGAGGGTTATTAGCAGGAGTGTGTGTGTGTGTGTGTGTGTGTGTGTGTGTATGTGTGTGTGTGTGAAATATAAGATTAAATACTTTTTGCAACAGTGAGAAAATTGGTTCCATTTGGAGGTCTGGAATGGCAGGATTGCTGTCAAAGCTGTGATGTGATTCCTCTTGGGAAGCAACTCTGGCAGACAGGGTCAGATCTGCCACCCAGAATCAGTCTGTGTGTGTCACTGTTGGGTGTCCCAGCCCACTCTTCTGTGCAGTTGTGGTATAGTGCAGCTACGCCAAGGAGCACCTAGAATAGCAGTCTAAGCAACAGGAACCTAGCAGGGGGGTCCCTTTCCTGCCCTCTTGAATCTGCCACCTGAGTAGTAGAAGAAGCTGTAGTTGTGGTCACCTGTGAAGAGTGGGCTCTGCAGCCAGACTCAGTTTTGCAACCTGGAACTATTCAGCACATAGTACTGCTAAGAACCTCTACCTCCCTGCAGGGATAATTGGGGCTCCATGCTCCAGCAATTCTGAGGAGAAAGGGGGTTCCATTCCTGCACATCTGGAGTAGTAGTCTAAGTGGCAGGAGACATTTTTTGTTAAATTTTTTTTAAAAGTATTATCACCAACAACCACAATATGGTCCTACACTAGGAAAATTTAACATTGATACAATGCCATTATTATAGCATTAATGATGATAGTTACAATTATTACTATAATGCTATTATATACTGTCCATATTCAAATGTTTAGGACAGAGTTCAGCATACATTTTCAGCAGTGGGCCAAACAGTAAATATTTTAGGCTTTTCAGGTCGGACAATATCTGCTGTAACTGGTCAACTCTGAAGCAGCTACAGATGACATGTAACACAGATGAGTGCTGTTGGGTTTCAATAAAACTTTATTTACAAAATAATAATAATAAGCATTTATTTTTCTTATTCCTAACTGAAACAAATTGTAGATAGGATTTTTAAATTATGTACTTTTAAATAGTTGTTTATCTAATCAAATAGTTTTAAACTACATTTTTTGAATGATCAGAAAATATAATACCTAATTAGACACAAACAGTTGTTATACGTGTATATAGGATTTTTACTTACCACCAGGTTTCAGTTTAATAACTTTTTATTTCCAGATGTCATTATTCTGAAAAACATGGCTAATGTAAATAAAATTGGGCTTGAAAGCTTAATTAAAGATCCTAGTGCCTTTTCAGGGTTAGAGTATGTCCAATTTAAATGATTTGCAGTTTGATTAATTGATTCTGGATGTTTCCACTGAGGTATTATGTTTGAAACTGTCTTCCAATTAATTTTCTATCAATTTACCTGCCATGTTATATCAG